TTCCAGGTTGAAAAGTCACAGCTGCGATGGCTTGGTAACGTGTTGCGAATGCCTCCAGAAAGGAAGGCTAAGCAACCGTTCCTTGCAAATCCGACCGGCAGAAGGCCCAGGGGAAGGCCAAGATTAACCTGGAGCAAATATATGGAAGGCGTCTGTTCCAGACTCTAGTTGTCCTCCGCCGAAGCTCAGACTCTGGCACAGGATCGGGAACGTTGGAAGTTCTGTCTGACGCGTCTGCCTACGTGACCCGAAAGGAGAAGCGGCGATGGAAGACGAATGAATGAATGAGTTCAAATTGAAAAACGAATAATTCTGAAAAAGACAAGAATCGGCCAGGACGATTACACAGAAACTTCACCACGAACAATGAAAATTTCATTTCGTCTGCTCGAGTTATCTCGTGCTCATCAGCTGTTTCAGCAGATGGTACGTCTAATATGCTATCACATAAACATAAGCTGGCCTTGAAGGAGTTGTTACTTCACATACTCGGGCGTATGAACAGCTTATGATATAATCAAATTTTTCTCCATTTACTCAAGATTTATACTTTACGTTTTCCTAGAATGTGAGAAAATTGAAATGCGTTCCAGTCTGGTTCACACCACAATGTTTGTTTTTAATCTCTAGCACACTTGGTTTTTTTTAATGCAGTTTATGATGCGGAGCTAATCCCGATTTTTATGCCATCAGTCACAAGTTGTTATATGTTTTTCTTGAAAGCAATATCTATGACAAAGTGACAAGCTCTCGTGTTTCAATGTTGCGAAGTGATACTCATTTAGGCGAAAGTATATCGGTATATTTCCCCAAGATGAAAGGTATATCGGAAAATTGAGTAATTCGGAAAAACTGTCACCCAAGGAACAGAATACAGCCTGTCAAACTGGAGAAGTTGGATGACTGCAGAAGCATGCGAATGACTTGCGGTGAAAAGGCCACGGGGATCTTACACACAACAAAGAAACGCCATGTTCCCCAGCGGTCAAACTACATGGGCATCGTTAAGGAAAGAAACTATTTAAGAAAATGAATCATAAAAGCCCTTATTATCAAATGCTGAGAAAATATCAACCCGGAAACGGATAAGAACTCTGCATGGATATGGCATGCCCTTCAATCCTGTGACCTAAACACCACCTAATTAGTAGCATGAGAAAAGCACAAATTTGATTCCAACAACTCATTAAGAATTTTACCCGGATTACCCTGAAAAAGACTAGTGGGAAGCAAGCCGAAATGTCGGTGCTGGTCATTCACCCGATTGATCAACTTATTTGTTTGTTTTGTGCATAAATAAATCGTTTTTGTATATTTTTCCGTTTTCAAGACAAAAGATGAGTGATATAGCAATATTTTGAGTCTTATATCTCTAGATCGTAAAACGAGGCTCGATGTAATCTGCTGTTCCGTAGGAACAAAATCACTCAATATACCGTTAATGTGGTACGAAACCTACTTCTACAAAACATGAGAGTTCCGCTAATGTACCTGCTTTCAAAAATTCAACTGATACCGGCCCGAAGTTATAGCGTATTCGAGGCAGTTGAACATTTGATGATGTATATTTAACAAGCGGTAGAAGTATGTCGTAAAAAATTTTGATAGTTTCTATAAAAATAGATTGTGAGAATATGGCTTTTTTGTTTTAGGGAAGATTACTTTTCCATTTTGCCTGCATTTAACAGCTATTTTGTATGAAATCTACATTCTATCCTGTAGCGTCGTAATCAAGACGCTAGATGATCAGTGTGTGACTTTACATGTCCTTCTTGATTTTCAGAATTTCTTCTCAGATTGTTAGGCAGACAGCTGTAAAGTAATGACTAAACTAGTTTCCATTAAAGTTTGTCGGCCGTACACGATGATAGCGGCATATCGATGCCGACAAGACCTTGAGAAATGTGGTAATTTATGCTTTTGTAATGTTTCAGTGGTCTCCTGAAAAATTTGCACTGTATATCATCATATAAGGGAGAAGGCTGACAAAGTTTGCTGGATCACTAACTTAAAGTGGACATAACCGTACACGGTCACCTGCTTCATTTCGTATCATGTGGCAGAGGACCGTCGACACCTGAAAAAGGCGTTCGAAGTTGCGTCTGCCACGTATGCGCGTACAACTGCACAGTCGATTAAGTAGATGATTATTAAATATAATGTGGGAATTATATCAAATTCGGAACTTAACGATCAGAATATGGCTAACTTAAGGTGTGGAGGATTTATGGGATGGTGAAAACGAGTCTTTCCGGGATATAGTATGTCGGGATCTTGAACAGTTAAGTGACGGCTGTTATTTGCACTTTCGTTTGCATGCTAATGATACAGGCGCTCTAGTGCCATGGAACCGTATCCTAATGAAATGGCTCCCAAGAATTCTAGTGGTCAAAGGGGATGATGGGATTGGCCGTGTAAATCTGGACAAGTGACGTAGATGGCACCCATCGTTGTACAAAACGTCGATCTTCCAATAAAGACTCTCTGGAGTCGTTTCGTTGAACTGGTTTAAGCGTTCTCATTTTCGTTCCTCATCTCACCACTGATTCAGCACTACTAATTTTGAAAGAAGACATATAATGCGTTATTTTTAAGCTGCTACCATGCGTTTATTGTTTTGAAGTGGGCAGAAAATATAATGTGCCATTTAGGAGCATTGAAAGTTACTGTATCACCCAGATGACTCGCTGGGCTCGTAAAGGTCGAAAAGGAACTCGTGAATTTGAGGCTACTACATGGTTTGAAATGAAGTCACCACGTCCTCATCCGGCTGAGTTGATTTTCTCGGGATTATAGAGATTATCAACCCTTACTGTTAAATTAAGGAAAAAGACGGAAGTTTCGAAAGATGACGCTGCGACAATGGAAGAATCCGCTGCGACCGTGGATACACAAAATAATAAGCAGCACGTTGTCGACGTGAAAAATGACACATCGTTTCACAGGTTAGTGTAAGAAGGAGTGAACAGCAAATAGGAGTTACATTTTCTCTGGCATTTATCTTGTTGTCTTGAATGGACAGAGGAGAGCTTGAACAACAGAAATGCCCAATTCATTGTATGAAATCTCAGGTGTCGCGTCTTGGTTCGACAC